TGGCGGGGGAGAGGCGGCAAAAAGACACGAGAGTTATGGTCCAAGCGGTATCGACGTAGTAAAAATAGGGGTGTGATAGGCGCCGGAGGATAATTTATCCTCCGCTAACGGCTATTGTGGATCGGCTAGGTGTGCATTAGAGAAGGATAACCGAATTTATCCTCCTCTAACGCCGGATAGAGGATCGGTTAGAGTTGCCCTAAGAACGTCTCACGACACTCCTCGAAAACTCTTTCGTATATCCGGGCGGGGCGGACAGTCCTGACACACGATCGGGCAGAAAAAACCCATCCAACAGGACTTTTCAAACCTGTCTGAAAATCAGACGGAGGTCCGGTAGGAAAACGTAGATCTTTCCTGACATGTCGGACCCGCCCTGTCCTACAGTCAACGGTCCTCTCGTCCATTGCATTGCACCTGGGCACGCAAACGAACCAAAATGAAAGACGCGAGACCACCAGCTGACCCGTGGGGCCCACAGGCAGTCGTCCGGTGCCTGACGTGCGGGCCCGGCGAGGGATGGCCCTCACGTGCCACTGCCACTTTCCCCGAGAGCAGATCCGCCTCCGCCCCCCCGACCCAATCCCAACCTCCCTCCCCACACTACGCGCACCCAAAACCCTGCTCCCCCGCCCGCTGACATCCATGGCCCACCGCGCCCCCGCCGCGCTCCTCCTCCTCTTCCTGCTCGTCGCCGTCGCCGTCGCCGTCGCCGCGTCGGGGGAGGAGGGGCCAGGCTCGGCGTCGGAGGTGGTGGTCGAGCAGGAGGAGGCGGGGATGCTGGAGCAGCTCGCGCGGCTGGAGGCCGTCGCGGACTCGCTCGCCAGGTCCGTGCGCGCGCTGGAGGCCGCGCTCGCCAGATCCGCGGACCCGGGGCCGCCCCCGCCGGCGCGGTTGCATCAGCAGCCCGAGCAGGAGGAGGCGGTCTCCGACGCCGTGGCGGAGGAGGCGCCGGGCGGGGGCGGAGCGGGGCGGCGGGCCCCGCAGGGCGTGGCGGTGACCAAGCGCCGGCCTTTGTGGTCCGAGCGGTTCCTCTTCGCGGCGGCCGTGCGGCTCGGGGACGGCGCGCACGCCGCCGCCCAGGCCGCGCTGCCCTACGAGGACGCCGACGGCCTCACCAAGTACTTCGCCGTCGGCGACTCCCTCGGCCGCGTCTTCGTCTTCTCCGCCGCCGGCGACGCGCTGCTCGAGCTCGGCCTGCCGCCCCCGGGGGAGTCCTCCTCCTCCTCCCCGGTCACCGCCCTGCTCGCCTACCTCTCCCCGCGCCGCGCCGACTGCCTGCTCTTCGCGGGCCACGCGGACGGCTCCATCGCGGCGCACCGCCTCACCGAGTCCTCCCCGCACGGCGACGACTGGCTCACCCTCGCCGCGGCCTCCTCGCGGCTCCTCGTGCGCGGCCTCGACGGCGCCCCGGTCCTCCACCTCGAGGCGCACCACGCGGGCCGGTCCCGCTACGTGCTCTCCTGCGACGCCGGCCGCCGCATCCGCGTCTTCACCGAGAACGGCACGCTCTACGGGACCGCCATCGCCTCCTCCACGCCGCTCGCCTTCGTCAAGCAGCGCCTCCTCTTCCTCACCGAGGCCGGCGCCGCCTCGCTCGACCTCCGCTCCATGACCGTCCGGGAGACGCCCTGCGAGGGCCTCGCCGACGCGCTCAACGGCTCCCGCCCCAGGTCCTACTCCTTCGACCCCTCCGAGCGCTTCAAGGCCTACGGCTTCACCGACGCCGGCGACCTCGTGCACGTCCTGCTCATGGGCGACGTCGCCAACCTCAAGTGCCGGGTCCGGGCCGTCAAGAAGGCCGAGGTCGACAGCCCTGTCGCAATACAGACCATCAAAGGTTACCTCTTGGTGGCCAGCCAGGACAAGATCATGGTGTACAACACCTCATCTCAGTACTATGGGAGGGTCGGGGCGCCCCGGCCGCTGTTCACCACTGCCATTAGGGACATCAAGGCTGTGTTTGCGGGTTCTAGCGCCGTCATGTCAGCCGCACCAGCTGGGAAGCCTCTTATTGCCGCGGACCGTGAGAAGCTCGTCATCTTGGGGCTTGGGGATGGTTACATCGCCATCTACCGTTCCAACTTCCCGGTGTACAAGCCGGAGAGCAATGCTGTTGTGTGGAGTGGCCCAGCGCTGCTTTTCCTCCTGTTCTTGATTGGCATCTGGCAAGTCTATGTGAAGAAGAAGGATTCGTTGGGATGGACACCGGAGGAGACGTTTAACACCTCGGTCACAGCTCCTACAGGGAGCATCTTGAATCATCCAGCCAGTGAGCGAGCATTCGCAGATAGCACGACAAGAGCTGCTGATCGAAGCTATGTGGATGGCACGACCAGAGCCAGCGACAGAAGCTATGTGGACGCCACTGCGAGATCTACTGACCGAGCCTATGCTGAGGCTACCAGGGCTGTGGACCTACGCGGCGGGGCGTTGAGAAGTGCTCCGAGAAGGTATGTGTCCCCTACCAGGTATGCAGGGGCAGCCGGTATTCCGTATCGACCTGTTTCGGCCGAGCCCGGGCTTAGAGGAGCCACTCCAGAGCTGAAGTACCGAGGCCCAGGTATGGAGCCCCCTGGTTTCCCCAAGAAAAGGGAGACATTGTTCTCGAACAACCAAGCCGTAGTAGATGATCACGTCGAATGAGGCCGCCGGACTGTCGGTGCAGACAGCCGCCCCTAAATTTTGGTCTGGCTTGAAGTTCCCGCACCTAAGAGGGATATATGCCGCTGATCCACCCGCCTGTTGTTGTAAGTTGTAAAACTCAGGAAATGTTTGTATGGTACGAGTACATTATGGCCATTAGGATACCCGGCTGCAAATGGTGGAATAACGCGAAGACTATGGGTTGCATCTGTGCATTTTACAACTATCTATGGGTATAACCGTCCAGGCATGTTTACTTTGCTTTTCACCTTTAGCAATGTAAGGCAAGCACTCTAGTCTCAAGTTTTACAATGACCTCCAGTTGTGCTGGGATGCTTGGAGTCCCTCTACTTCTGAAGTGGTTTTCTAAGTAGCAGCATTAGATTCTCTTTTTATGGTAAATAGCAGCATTAGCTTCTCTTTTTATGGTAAATAGCAGCATTAGCTTCTCTTTTTATGGTAAGTAGCAGCATCAGATTCTCTTATGGTAAGTAGCAGCATTAGAGATGTCTTAGCTGCATGTGAAGATTTGCCTCAGCATTTAAACTAGGAAGAAGCAGTAGATTCAGTCAATTACATTAGCATTCTGGTAGCCATAGGCCACATGTTCAATGTTGCTGAAGATGCAGGGGCATCATTTTTGTTCTTCTTCCAAGAACTTGCGAAGGCTCGCGATTTGCGCACTGTAAAAAGGTTGGTGCGTCACGTGCTGCATTCGAGCTTCCGTTTCCTGTCACTATCTAATCCCTGTTCTATTTTTTCTGCATCGATGTAAGGATGATCTGCTCACTTTCGTTGAAGATACTTTGGCAGTGCTTGATAGCGCCATTTACCAAATCTGTTGACATGGACATGGGGGTGCAGCTATCCAAATTTTCAGTTTTTTTCCCCTTGTCCTTTTCTCAGTCATTTGTGGCTCCTTCTATCTGCTTATCTGCTTCACATTTGGATGATAACAACGTTTTGTCTGCTTCATTCATATATGTATGCTCCCAAACGCACATAAATATCTTTCTTTTAGTGAAATGTACATAAATATCTTGTGACAAGGCCGGGTTCCGTCTGTGCACTTCATACTATCCATGGGTAGGTCTAAGTCATTTTTAATATGCTTTTCACCTTCAACTTTCGCCTTTAATGATGTAAGCACATTGCTATCAAGTTCATAATCACCTCCAACTTGCTGGGATGCCTGAGATTGCTTTGGAACTGAGTTTCTAAGCAGCGGCGTTGGGTGTCTGAGCTGCATGTGAAGATTTGCCTCAGCATACATTGTATAGAGGTTGCTTCACTTAATTCGGATCGGAGGGAGTAGAACCAGTAGATTCAGTCAATTACTTTTAACATTCTGGTAGCCACAGGCCATATGTTCAGTGTTGATGTGAAGATGCAGGGGTGTCTATTTTCTTCCAAGAACTTGCGATTTTTGATTTTTGTTTCGGGAACCTGTGACTGACTACTCAGGAAGGGCGCGGTTTGCCACGTCACGCGCTGCATCGAGCTTTCGTTTTCGGTCGCTATATAATCCTTGTTCATGATATTAGTTGGCATTAACGTGATTTTTGCTCTGTTTATATGTTCTTAGCATCTGGATGATAACAAACTTAGGAATCTGATGCCGCCATTTGCGGCTCAGGGACCTGATATGATGATCACCATTTTTATGCTTTGCTCCCAACTGTACATAAATATCTTGTGACAAGAATGTGACATGAGCTCTACATCCGCAGCAGGATAACGCAAAATCTCAAAAGGACATCACAGAAATCTGCATTCTAGATTGACATATACTAACCGTAGATAATGCAGGTAAACATATACTAGCTGCAAAGGAAAAGAATAATGCGCTGCGCTTCAAGTTTATATATGCTTGTGATGTATTAACCAGCCTATAATTAAAAAGAATTCATGAATTTTAAAAAAAGGTCATCAAGTATTAAGAAAATGTTCATTGCACTTCCAAAAAACAGTCCATCACACATTTAAAAATAATTTATTTTGTATTTTTAAAAATGTTCATAGACTAATTATGAAATAATTTATTTTGTATTTTTAAAAATGTTCATAGACTAATTAAAAGTGTTTTTAGAGTCTGTCAGACAACCTCTAGGCCACCCTGCACATGCATGAACAAGGCAGGAACGATCCTCTACAGCCATCGAACGCTCCCATCAGGATACATCCAAGCCGTTAATCCCGCTCTAGCCTAGAGGTCAAAAATGCATGAACCATACTGAAGTGCTTGCCTGGGTAAAGGATGCAGCGGTACGAGCCTATAGAAAATATCATGTTCAAGTAAGGCCGTGTATTAAAAAAGTGTTAATCATTTATTTAGAAAATGTTCATGCAATTAGAAAGAGCATTCATAGAATTAAAATAATGTGCGTCTATTTACCTAAATAGACATGGAAAAACTGAAGCCAATAATGAGAAGTGAAAAATAAGAAGAAAAAAAAAATAAAAAATACAAAAAATACGGACAAATATAAATACATGATGAACAATACCCCAACACGGCAGGCAATTTTTTAAATATGCATGAAATATATTTCGAAGTACACGATGTAAACTTTTGAAGTGCGCGACCAACTGTTTTCATGTAGGGTAACCATTTTTTTAAAACATATTGAACATTTGTTTACAAAGTCCATGATGAACCTGTTAAAAACTACACTGAACATTTTTGAAAAACAACATGAACAAAAAAAAGAACCGGAAGAAAACAAAAAATAGAATAAAATGGAAAGCGAAAACTGGGTAAAAGGAACAAGCATAACAAGATTTTTTTTTTTGAAACAAATCCTGATAGTAGCGGCTAGTAGGAGGAAGTAACACACAGAGAGAAAAAAAACGCACCAAGTGTAGGTAGGATGAAACACACGGAAGGAACAGAAAAGGGGCAAATACACTCATGGTATATAAAGTTGTACGACATATGAAGTTTGGTGCCAAAGTTGAAAAATACGGAAAAGTGGTGCCAAAAGCCCAAAAGCTGTCCAAACATCCACGTACGCTCCAATTCTCGTCTTCAGCTATATACACCGTTCGCGTGGCTCCGGGCCCATTGACAGTGATGGTTGGGGCTGGAGCGTAGCTGCTTTGCAGAAAATCCTAAATTAGTACTCCCTCTGTAAATTAATATAAGAGCGTTTAGATTACTAAAGTAGTGATCTAAACGCTCTTATATTAGTTTACGGAGGGAGTACCAAATCTCATAAAAGGCCCCTGAAACGCCACCTATGCGTCTTTATGGCGGTTGGATCCCATCTATTGGGCGCACAGTACAAAGAAATACTCCCTCCGTTTCAGAATATACGTTGCATAAATATATGTGAAAGTCAAACACATACTATAAATATCTGTGGAAGTCAAACACATACTCCCTCCGTCCCAAAATAAGTGACTCAACTTTGTACAAGATTCTATAATAAAATATCAATATCCATAATATAAAATAAATAAAATATAAAAATACTTTTCATGATCGATCTAACTATACAAATTTGGTATTATAGATTTCAATTTTTGTTGTTGCAAAAACTAGGTAAAACATGCACAATTTTTACTTTTGGAAAAAGCAACACACTTTATATTTTGGAACGGAGGGACAATCCGTATGAAAAATGGTGCCCACACAATCGTGTTTGATGTCCATAAAGGATAACCAGACTCAATGTCTGGTAGCTGAACGCGCTCGTGGGGCTTAGATTGGCTGCAGTCACTAAGACCCATTTTTTACATGTTAGCTTATTTTATTTTCTTGTAATTTTGTAACACATTTGCAAACTATAATCACAACAAAAATTAAAACTTGGAATATTCGTGTTCATATATTTTAGAATGTGTTATAAAAAAGTGTTCATATATTTAATAAAAGTATTAACATAATTTTCATATATTTTAAATAACATATACATGTAATATTTGAAAAAGTATTCATATAACTAAAATAAATTTTAAGAAATAGAAATTGCAGTATAGGGGCTTACTAGGCTAGTAATTTTTTAACATATTTTCCTAATTTTGTTTTAAAAATAATTGTTTTGGCAAACACACAAAATTTATTAAAATGGATGATCACTTTATAAAACAACATACAATATTTATCTTATACTACATGAATATTTTATCAAAACCATGAACATTTTACAGTTTAACAAACTTTTGCAAAAATATTATAATCTAAACTGATATTTTCATTACATATATGTACACATTTTAAAATTATACAAAGTTTTCATAATTCATAAAACATTATTTTAATTATATGATTTTCTAGAATTACATGAATAATTATTTTAAAACAATAAGTTTTTTTGACAAAAATTTAAAACAATAAGTGAAATATATGAATCTTCATGCCTCACGCAAATAAGGGCACCGGAGAGAAAAAGAAGCTTCGGCTGTGGCGCAAACCTCCCATCAACCACGGGACCCTGTAGTCAAGACCATCTCCAAAATGATGCCTCCAATGGTGATAGTAATTTTTCTAAGAGACCAAGAAGATGAATATTTAATAATTTTGAAGCTGTAAGTAAAGAATTGATCTGGGTCGTCCGTTCCTCGGATCTCCTCCGGAGCACCCCTTGACTCTTGATGCTCGTCATTTTTCAGGGCCTGAACCTGAGCTCTTTCGGTGTACTGAGGCCAAACAGGAGAGCAACGACCGCGGAGAGCTCGGAGACGGGAGAGATTGACATCCTCTTGTTGTTGCAGAGGCTGGGGTAATTAATATCTTCGCGATATTAATATATTGTCTTTTTTAAAAGAAAATAGAGAGCTGGGAGACGGGATAGGAGCGGGGCATGAGAAGGTGTGGGACCGCCACAACAGCAGCTAAGAGAAATTTCCTCTTGGCGATAGCGACGCGCGAGCGAGAACGTATCCTATGCACCGATTGAACTGATGCACCAGGTGCTCCGCGGGGATCCGAGCCATTGTTTGCAGAAGTAAGGGACGGGATATCAACAGGGAGGGAACCCACAGGTACATTTTCAAAA